AATACTCATTCCATTGGCAAATCATTTCGTTTAAATACCCTTAATTTAAGAAATGTTTACTTTTTTCTAGATCGATTTTGCAGTGTAGGGACAATGACCAAAAGAAAATTCTCCAAGACAATGTTTGGTGTATGTAAATAATTGAAAACATGATCAAAATGATAAGATTTAAAAAAATCTTATCAGGTTCCAAAAATTAGTCATGAAATAAAAAATAATTAAATAAAAGCAGTTAAAAGTAGCTGCTGTTAGCACTAGAAATGACCATGACAACAACCCATGAATGGTTTCTCACATCTGTTGCCTCCCTCTGTTTTACCTGGACTGAGGCAGCCTCAGCTCAGCAGAGAGCTGACCTCTGACCCTGGATAGCATCAGTATAGCGTGATGCTTTGTTTAAAGTTCCACATGTTGAGATTCATACCAGTAATCATGAACCTTTAGCTCAGAATCTTTTATATTTTCTAGGACGGCAGCTGTGTGCCTCAGTCAGACTGTCGCTGTGATATAAACAGAGAGCCAACTGGAGATGGAGACACTCTGCCCAGGAACTGCAAGAACTGGTGGGACAATCCACAATAAACCAACTCAAAGTTCCTGTTTTAGATTAACTTTCTTCATAAACACAGAAAGAGGAGAAACTATTGTTTTTTCATAATATTTCAGTACCTGTGAAAGAGGAAAGCTTGTCAACTGTTCTCAAGTTAGCTGCAACGGTAGGAAGAACAACTTAGAATTGAAAACTTCAACATGTACAATGTTTACATACACATGCTAACATTGTGTGATCCGTATCAAGTGGACGGCCACTGGTCAAACTGGACCCCCTGGGGTCAGTGCTCAGTCTCCTGTGGAGCGGGTCTCCAGTCTCGGTACCGGTTTTGTTCCAGTCCCCAGCAGTCTGGCAGTGGACTTCCATGTCTTGGTTCCCGCCGCGAGGATCGAGTCTGCATCAGTTCTCCATGTGATGGTGAGGAAATATTCAGTGGCCTTTGTGCCATTATGCAGCAAAGATGTTTTGTAGTTGGAAATATTAAAAAAAGAAAAACGCAATCTAGAATAAAACTGTGCAAAAAATAGTTTTTAGAGAAAATTTGACATTTTCTCAATTTTTTCCCCCAGTTAGTTTTGTTTCATGCTTCAAGATTTGTTAAATGCATTTTTATATTTTTAAATTTCTCTGTTTCAGATAGTTTTATGAATTGCATTATTTTCAGATTGCATTTTCAAGATCACATTCCCTTTAGTTCTGTGGATTGGCTTTTTTCTGGAGTAAAACAAATATGAAAAATAATAAAATATGCAAAGAACAGGAAAAAAATAATTTGAAGCAAGTTTAATTTCTGGATTGTTTTCTCACATTACAAATTGTTTTTTTTCTACATTTCAATTTTTTTTTCATTTTCCAAAACTTTTTTTTTTTTTCGATTTGGAAAATGTGTTTTCTTTGGATTTCAAAGAAAAATTTTTTTTTTCTTTTTTTTACTGTAAGATTTTCAAGGTTTCATTCCTTGATTAGTTCTTTTTTTTCTAATTTCCATTTGAAAGAACTGTTTTCATTGAATTTAGCACTAACAAAATGTGTTTTTTTTCTTGCATTTACAAAACATATTTTCTTGTTACTATTTACAAAACCTTACTTTTCTCAGATTTACATTTAGAAAACTCGCTCTTTGCGTGCAACAAAAGTAAAGCAACATTCGCTCTGTAGGTAAACGATGTGTTAACTCCTTGACACTCATTGTTTCAAATATTTGACAAACCATCTGTAAACAGCCAGGATAGCATGTGCCAGTTATTATACATCTAATGTTGAACCAGTGCAAAGCTCTTCAAAAACTGGTTCCTAATGGTGTTTGTTATCATCTATCATTATATTATACCTACATTTCAATTTATTTTGAAAATAAATAGAAAATTTAAAAATTTCATTTTGGCAACTAGTTAAAGGCAAAAAACTTTTTTATAAATATATACACGTATATAAATTTGGATGGCATCAGAGATTCGGTTCATATTCAGATCACTGGGTTTATGGCTGCATTGGAGAAAAAAAGGTTCTTATCTGCCTTCCAATTAGGATCTTTTGTTTTTATCATCTAATTATGTTGTTGTTGTTTTTTTAGTTGATGGGGGTTGGAGTCAGTGGACTGACTGGACAGAGTGCACCAAGTCATGTGGAGGGGGGGTTCAAAGCCGGAGGAGACAGTGTGACAGCCCCCCTCCAGAGGGGGATGGGGACTACTGCGAGGGGCTGGGGACAGAAGTCAGAGGCTGTAACACAGACCACTGTCCAGGTACTCAGACACACTACAGTAGGAGGGATCTAGCTGTTTTATATCTAGATCTATAACTCCATGAGGTTTACTGTATCTGTTTGCTTTAGTCCCACCTTGTTGGAAGGTCCCAGGGACAGTTTTCAGCAGCTGTGGGCCCTCCTGCCCTCGCTCCTGTGACGACCTGTCAGTAAGTGAAGCCAAGCAGCATTTTGATCCACACCTACAACATCGATGATGTATCCTACAAAGCCTGTGGTTTAAGTTTTAGTTCAGGTTCATAGAAGGATTCAGGTCTGGATTTGACTAGGCCGTCCTAATACATCTGTATGCTTCATATAAACCAGGAATGTTTTAGTGGCCCTTTAGCAGCCCTTTGACTTTCTTTGGCCCTCCGCAAACAGTCTTATATAATGTCCTCATATTTTCGTCATATCAAAAACATAAAAAAGGCCAAACTAAGTCCTGTTCTTGTACTAGAAATAGAAATAAAATCAGTAAAGCCTAAAGGAAAAAATGTATTCTTTTTAGTTACAAAAACAAGCTTTAAAAAATGGTTTAGATTTATTGTACAATGAGAACATTTCCCTTAATTAGATCAGTTTGTAAAGAGGTAATTTGACCCTGCTATCTTCACAGCAACTTGCAAAATATAGGAGTAGGGCTAAAAACTTGGGCTAGAGCACTTATTGCGGCCTAAATATATACCGCTTCCTGTCATTAAGTCAGGTAATAAGGGGAAGCGGTATGTATTAACCGCTTCCGTGTTAACTTAAGATCCAAATGCAGAGAAGAAGCAACATTATGGGAATAAATTAGCTCCCATCAAATGTCAAAATACATATGGAGAGTAGATTATGTGTGTGTTTGAAATAAAACTGCTAATATGAGTATTTATTGTGATTCAATAGAAATCCTCTAACTCAGTCCAATCTCTCCCAGCACTGTGAGTGGCATTGTGAGCCTGGTTGCTACTGCACAGAAGGGAAGGTCCTGTCGGCCAATGGGACGCTCTGTGTAGCGAGGGAAGACTGCCCTTGTCTGGACATAAATACTGGCCAGCGAATAGAACCAGGAGAATCCACTGAGGCCTCTGATGGATGCAACAACTGGTCAGAATCATTTTACGTAATTAAATGATTTATTGAAGACGAACGCCTCTAAAAGACAAATAATAAAATATGTAAAAAACAGGAAAAAAAGTTGAAACACAAAATTTCAAGAAGGTTCATTTGTGGCTTATTTTTGAGGATTTTTATCTAGATTTCCATTTTTTTATTCAGTTTCCAAAACTTTTTCCATATCCCATTTGCAAAACTTTTTTTAAATTTTTTTTTTATTTCCATTTGGAAAATGTGCTTTCTTTGGATTTCAAAGAAAAGAAAAGGTGTTTTTTTTTTTTTTACTATAAGATTTTCAAGGTTTCATTCCTGGATTGTTTTTTTTTCTCCAAATTTCCATTTGCAAGAACTGTTTTCATTGAATTTTAACACTAACAAAATGTGTTTTTTTCTTAAAAATTTGCATTTACAAAACATATTTTCTTGTTACTATTTACAAAACCTTACTTTTCTCAGATTTACATTTAGAAAACAAGTAAAGCAACATTCCCTCTGTAGGTAAACGATGTGTTAACTCCTTGACACTCATTGTTTCAAATATTCAACAAACCCTCTGTAAACAGCCAGGATAGCATGTGCCAGTTATTATACATCCTGTGTTGAACCAGTGCAAAACTCTTCAAAAACTGGTTCCTAATGGTGTTTGTTATCATCTATCATTATGTTGCATGTTTGTAATATACCTACGAATTCCTCTAAAAGCCTCAGCTCCGTTTCTCTTGCAGCACATGTGAAGGTGGCAAGTTCAACTGTACCAGAGAGCCATGTCCAGGTGGGTAAAATCACCAAAAATGTTCCCATATACAATGAAGTCGCATCAAGATTCCTAATACTGATTGGTACACCGCTGTTTTCCAGTGTCTGGAGGTTGGTGTGAGTGGTCAGAGTGGACTCCCTGCTCCAGAACCTGTGGGGCAGAGTCTGTGTCCCGCTACAGGAGCTGTAACTGTCCTGAACCTAAAGCTGGGGGAGAACCTTGTCCTGGAGAACAGGAAACGCACAGCAGGATGGGCGTTCAGATCCAGAGAAAGGCCTGCCCCGTCATCACCTTCTGCCCCAGTAAGGTCCAGTCTGTAAGGGGGGGGGGGGGCAGCTGTTTTAAATAGCTGCAAGTAAAAAATGAGATTAGTGACAAAGTGTCATGATTCTTTCTAAGGCTCGGACCCACATGCAATGAAGCCAAACAGAGAGACACAATATAAATGTTCAACGGGTTTTATTAAAGTGTATATAGAGTTCGGTGCCGGAAACTGGAAGACGAGGGGAAGACAGACTGTTAGGTTCAGGCTCAGTGGGAAATTGGAGTTGTCAATCTTGAAGGAGAGGATTTGTTGCCACTTACGTTTCCAGAGAAGAAGAGACACATAGACTCCAGTCTGTGTGTTGGTCTTCCAGGGTTTGTTTGATTCGGTGGAGGGCGGAACAGGGTTTACCCAGAACTCAGACGGAGTGGAATGATGCAGCCGCTGGTTGCAACTCAGTTTTGGTACTTGAACGGGTCGTGGTGAAGATGACTTCCTTACTCAGAGAGTGATCTCAGTGTGCTCAAAGGTGACTGGATCCAAACCTCCTGTTGGGAATCCATCGCTCAGTGTAAGACTCAGTTGATCTCACTTGGGAGAAGGCGATCCGAAAAGGTCCAGTTTGCAGGAAGGCTTCCTGCCGAAAGGCAAAGAACAAACCAGGTTTAGTCTAAGGGAGAAACAACTGCTCAGTAAAACTCTATGTGATCTCAGCTTGACTAGAGGACAAAAACTCAAAATGCAAAAACTCAGATTAGACTCAGAATAAACAAGGCTCGGCTAGAGTACCACAAACTGGCAAACACTCTGGTGTCGAAGTAGTGGCAACCAGCAGCTTAAGAGCAGTCTGGTGATGAGGCAATCGGTTGCAGGTGCGTGAGAAGGCGAACTGGAGCCAGGCGCCTCCTGGTGGTGGAAGGGAGAAACACAAAAGACAAGACAAATAGACAAACACAAAAACTGGGATCCTGACACAAAGCTCCCCAGAAAACATGCTGTTCCAGAGTTACTTTAAGAGCCAAATGAAATGTTAAAATAACAAGGATTGACAAGGAAGCTAACATATAGTTTTTCAACCTTATTTGGTGTTTCTTATGTAGTGGGAAACGGTATTCAACTATTCACCCCAGTTAAATAAACAGAGTTAGATGGATTTCACTCAGTCTGCACTTTATTCTCATATTTTTGCAAAAAGAGAACAGTTCATCATACGGCCATTATTGCTTGGTAATCAGCCCTGTTCTGTCTGGGCAGAGTTCGTTCTCCTTTACTTACAATAACAGAAAGTTGTGAAAGTCAAAGCAAATTAGACACTTTGGTTAAACAGTAGGAGTTTTGCTTTATTATTGTTTTAAACAAAAACATAGTTTATAAATAGAAATTTGAAAAGGATACAATCCTTAAAGTAAACTTTAAAAAGCCTTTTATTCAAAAAAAGATTAATGTTGCTGTTTAGTCAGATTTTATTTTTGTATATATGTTTCATTTTTTTGACATTTTTTTTTACTGATTTTCAATTTTTTTATATATATATATATATATATTTCTTCTTTTTGATCATGTTAAATGAACTGTGTTTTTTTTTTTTTACTGCATATTTCACATCACAGTGTCTTCCCTTCTGGCGTAAACCTTTCTCTAAAATAAGGAGTGATGATGCAAGTTTCTCTGGTCTGCAGGAACGTAGCAGCAACATTTTTACTGGTTAAAAGCGAACATTTCTATTGCGCTTGAAGTGCAGACAATATGATCTGTTAACGCAATTTGAAAAGAATGCACTTCATAAAATTCAATCAGTAAAAGAGAAACTTCAAAAAAATCAAGTTAAAGATAATATAAGATCTGTAAAATAAAATTTTGGAAAAATATGATATAAAAACTATACAATCAGAAAAAACAACAAATTATTAAACAATTCTGATACAAAGTTCCTCCAGGCCAGTCAGATTCAAGAGGGGGTCCAGTTCTCACCCTTGTCCCCTCCTCATTTTGCCCCTTCTATTTAAAAGTTTTGCTCCTACAAATCTTTTTTTTCTTCTTTTCCATGTGTCAAAAAAACCCCTTCATAGTTCATGGTTCATGGAGTTCCTGGTCATCCTGGTCAGAGTGCGATGCCTGCGCCGGGTCATCTGTTCGTACCAGACAGTGTAACAGTCCTCCCGCCAGATTTGGCGGTCTGCCCTGCCTGGGAGAGAGTCGGCAGAGTCGGCGATGCCACAACAACCTCACTGTCTGCTCAGGTCAGCTGATTCCTTCATGGGTGTGAATAAAGTCAGAGAATCTGTCTGTATCGCCCTATTAGTTATCATTCCACATCTGAGTAAAAAGTAACACTCATTTAAATCTTTCAGAATGCGGCGGTGGTCAAGAAGAATGGCCGTGTGGGAAGCCCTGTGCTCGATCCTGTTCAGATCTCCATGGCGACACAGAGTGCTTGGACTCCCCCCCCTGCATCCAGACCTGCGGTTGTCCGGGTGACATGCTCCTGCAGGATGGAGCATGTGTGACCAGAGAGGAGTGCCGCTGCAAATATCACAACAGCTCTGTCACCGGTTGGTCTCCTGCTTATATTTAATTAGTGGGAACTGTCAAATATCAAACTGTTTTAAATTTTTCTCTGCTAAGATGAAGATTTAGATTCCAGTAATGCATCATGGGTTTGGCCCGGCGGATATGATTGGCAGTTTGCAAATCCAGGAGATATAATCATCACCGAATGTAAAAACTGGTAAAGCCTTTCTGAAAAATCTTTAGATTTCCAATCCAGTCAGTTTTTTAATCTACCCAGTGTCCTGAAAAGAAAGAAATCCTCGTCTTTATGTTTCAGCTCATGTGAGGCTGGGGTCCTGCAGTGTCAGTCTGTCCCTGGTTGCCATGTGGACGGGGGCTGGGGCCAATGGGGAGCCTGGAGCCAGTGCTCTCGTACTTGTGGCGGCGGAGTTACGTTCAGGAGGCGCCTGTGCAACAACCCAGCTCCTCAGAACAGTGGCAGAGGCTGTGTGGGTGAAGCTGAGCAGCAAAAGGACTGCAACCTGCAGATGTGCACAGGTAGCCACCTGTTTCCAGTCAACATTAGGCCCCTTAAATAATAAACCTAATGCTACATTTATTCTATTTAGGCTTTAACCCTTTATAGGGCAATCAGTGAAATTCTTTGAAAATCTAAATTTCAAGCCAACAGTGTTACTGGAATCAGGGACAAGAGCTTATTACCTTTGTAACATTCCAAAAATATGGATATTTTCATGGCAAAAATGTATTTCAATGTAAGAACAACAAAGACCAACTTGCCTGAATATATTAAGAAAAATAAAAGTGCTTCTATAAGAAATTCATGAAAAACACTCTAAGAGTAAAAGAAACACATTTCTTTTGATACAAAATAACCTTAGAGGCATTAATGCTGATACTGGCACTTATATTTTTTAGTTTATAAACCTAAATATTGTCAGGGTTAGTTGAGGTATGAGGATCCAAACGCAGAGGCAGAGAGGCTGAGGAGATTTCTGGGAGTTTTAATGGGGCAAAAACAGTAAACAAAGGCAGGAATCAAAAAATCCAACTAATAATGAAAAGCAAACCAGAACTGAGGAGACATCTGGGGAAAACCAAACACGAGGAGCCAGGGAGAGACGAGGAACATAGACCACAGCATGGGAAGACAGCAAAGACAAGGAACCAACAAAGAGTGAGAGCAGAGGGAGAGCATATATAGCTGACAGAGACAAAGGGAGGGCTAACGAGCTGACAAGGAGCAGGTGTGAGAGGAGACAACGAGGGAGCCAAGGGGAAAGGAACACACACACACACACAAGTGGGCAATAGAGGACAACAAAAAAACATGAGAACTAATATAAATCTAGAAATTACAACAAAACTGTAATTAAACCAATAAAACTAGAAAACAAGGAGCAAAGTAAAGAACAACAGAACCAAGACCATGACAAATATAATTGTTTTCTAGGCTTATTAACTTTTTAACTTACCTTTTAGATTTTTTCAATTAGTTTTTTTACCTTTTTTTTCTTGACTTGTTTGCTTTTTTCAACTTAATTTACAGTAGATAATATATCATTCAAGGGCTAATTGGTCAAATGCCATAAGATGTACAGCCATGTAGCAGGATCTTTGCTGAATGGCTGGATATAGATCTTGTGCTTCTAGACCTCACATAGGGACGGGGGGGCTCCATTTGTAAGGGGTATGCTAGTGATCAAAAATGCTAACTTGCCCTAAAAAGGGTTAAGCTACAACAGTTTAATAACCTATTAGGACCTTTTTTAATATATTTTGTCTCATTTTTCTGTCCTAACGTCTCCAGACTCGGTCGGCCCTTGGTTGCCCTGGTCACAGTGGTCTGCCTGCTCGGTCAGCTGCGGTGGAGGGCAGCAGTCCCGTTCTCGTGTCTGCACTTCTCCACCTTGCCACGGCGTCAGTCGCCAAAGCAAAATGTGCAACACGCAAGTCTGCCTTGGTGGGTTTTCTTTACATGATCTGAAACTTCATTCTGAAAGTAGAAATCATTCAAAATTTCCTTGATGGGCCCTTGGCTGGTCCCCTACAATTCCTTTTTAAACTTCAATCTTTGCTCTAAAATATTCTGTCATGGTTTGTGGACATTAAGATCTAAAGAGAGTGTCATCTCCTGGTCAGACCTAATTAACTGAGTGAAAGTTACTTGTTTTTAAAGTAATTA